AATTGTGGCTGTTTGAAGTCCTCTCAAAACTTACCATGGAGTCACCCACTGGTTTTTGCACTGCTGCCCTTCCCTCCTTAATCTATCCCCTTCACCTTTTTTTGAAAAAGGCAATTAACTTCTGAGCGCATGTGTCAATTATTCCTATTAAGATGACTGTTATCTACAGGGCAAAAACCTCTGCCCTCCTGCCTCTGGAGGTGCCAAACTCAATTACACGGTGCTGATTGGAGAGACCCCGTGTGCCGTCACTGTGTCCGAGACACAGCTCCTCTGCGAGCCCCCCAACCTCACGGGGCAGCACAAGGTCATGGTGAGTGTTCCCTGTTCTTCATATTATGTCCTCCCCTCTTCACCATACATATGTGATCTGCCCTAACAAAGGCTCTCTCTTCCTTCTAGTCCATATCCCTCTCCATGTCCTGCATGAAAATGGGAAATGGATAGCAGTTGAGAACACAAAAACAGGGGGAGGGGGACTAGATAATCAGCAGGATGTTGTTTTGAATACAGACTGCACTGTGTGGTTGTGGTCTCTCGTGTCCTTTCTGAAACGATGAGGATCCGATGGCATGCCAGGGCTCTACAGCATCTGTGTGTGTGCCATGCGCAGGTTCACGTGGGCGGGATGGTGTTCTCTCCGGGCTCGGTGAGTGTCGTCTCAGACAGCTTGCTGACCCTGCCAGCCATCGTCAGCATCGCGGCGGGCGGCAGCCTCCTCCTCATCATCGTCATCATCGTCCTCATCGCCTACAAGCGGAAGTCTCGAGAAAACGACCTCACGCTGAAGAGGCTCCAGATGCAGATGGACAACCTGGAGTCCCGTGTGGCCCTGGAGTGTAAGGAAGGTGCGTGGAGGCACTCTGTCTTTAGCGAACTTACTACCTCCCTCCTTACCAACAGCGCTCATCTTTACTTCCATCCTCCCCACCCCAGCCATTGTGCTCCACTTTGACCTCCGTTTCCTGTGCCCTCGGGACCAGAGAAGTCCTGGTAATGCCCACAGTGAGGCCCAGGCCTGATCGCATTGTTCTGTCCCCTGCCCCGACGCGTGCCTCAGTCTGGCTGCCTTCATCTCCCTCTCAGGGCCCCAGTCCCCCTCCAGGAGAATCTCAGCCTCCCGATCCCCGATGTGGGAGGGCCTGGCCCCTTTTGCAGAAGGCCCTGGGCACGTGGAAGGGGCAGCAGCAGG